TTACATTACATTACATTACATTACATACATTACATAAACATCATTACATGCATTACATACACTACATACATTGCATACATTACATACATTACATACATTACATACAACGTACGGTACGTAAGTACTACAGCAGCGACAGACAGACAGACCGATGCAACGGGGCCAGACCACTACGACACACAGACAGACAGGACAGACAGAAAGGACAGACAGACAGACAGACCTACGCTTTACCGACATACCGAACATAAACCTCACCGTAAATACAAACATGACAGAAAACCTACTGCCTACTACCTACCTACATACTACAGACATACTGACCAATGCTGATACAGACAGGACATACATACCACCACATAGCATACAGAACATAGCCGACCTCAACCTACCTACCTACATACAGACAAACAGACAGACATACCTACCTACCTACCTACCTACATACAGACATACCTACCTACATACATACAGACAGACCGACAGACAGACATACATACCTACCTACCTACATACATACAGACATACATACCTACCTACATACATACGGTTTCATAAAATGGGGTTACGACTAAATCATCCATTTTAGTTCGATTTTCCATTATAAACCAACCATTTTGGTGTACCACCATTTATGGAAACCCCGATATGAAATAGATATGACGTGTGTATATATATATAGTGGCATGGCATCTAGCTACAACAAGCCTTTTTGTTGTGTTGCAAAAAATGAACTGTGGTGTCTGGTGTCCACATATACTTTTGAGCCGATCTTGGGGCTGGATTTTTGTTGTGAGTGTGCAAGAGTTGGCTTCTTTTTCAAACCGTCAAGCACTTGAAATATCAAGCTCTCTAGCCTTCACCCGCCACTCCCAGGTGGATGTTTGAAGGCAAATCTGGTTGGTGGTTTCAAGCCCTCTGAAAAATATTAGTCAGATTGGATCATTATCCCAACTATTGGATACTATTGGGGAAAATCAAAAATGTTCCAAACCACCAACCAGAAATACACTCTGCAACCGTCACCGAGCTCCTCCCACCTGCCCCTGGCGCAGGCATGTCCCAAGTTCTCATCCACCAGCCATCGCAGCTGCGCCCCCGCGAGACGACGCTGGTAACTCTCCAGGGCAGTCTCCGGCGGACACATGCGATCCCAACGGCCATGGTGCGCTAAAACCTGCAGAACCCGTGGCGGTGGCCACTTAAGGGGGGGGGTAGCTTCCAAGATGTTCCAAGGGAGTGGTCACGGATAATTTTCCATTGCCATGTTAGATTGGAGGGTATACTACTCAAATGGATGGGAACGGTTGCAGGGGGAAAATGTTCAGAACATTTCATGGGTTTGACCCAAAACTTGTTAGGGGCTCCATTGTTATAGAAAATCAAAGGTTTGACAGGTCCCTACATCCGAAAACCCAATCCTCACTGGAGGATTAAAAGCTCATGGTTGCCGTATCCCTCACTTTTTGTGGCAACGATAACCTTAAAAACATGAAAGGCTTCCTTACATGCATATCCTTCATCAACATCACCTGAACGTGGGGCTAACCACAATTCACTCACTCAAGTGATACTTCAACACAGACAAAAGGGGAACTGGCCTAATATAGGAAGGCTGAAAGAAATATGCTAATATGATCATGCGCGTTTCTGAATCATTGCCCAAATAATACTAGTGCCATGTAAATTCAAAATATCAAAATACGGGTGACTAATGAATAGTTACCAAACATGATGGTGATAAATCCCAATATATATATACTTATATATATATATTGTTGGCGAAACCCAAATTCATGGACAATAGCTACATCAATCACGTACATTAAATAGAACTAAATATAAAACCTCAGACATTTATGTAACATAGAAACGTTCATGATCCATAAATAAATAAATATATATATATATACACGTATATATATATATGTATAATGCAATATCTCACTATGCTAGTAGGATGTTTATTGATTCCTTTTTTATATCTGTTGGAGGTTGCTATTTCTTGCCGTATAATCATGGTTTATAACATAACCCATAAGTAGCTGGGTTATACTATGCAATGGCTATAATTAGTATGGTTGCGGTTGGTACGTTTGTGGTTTTTGTATATTGTGGTTAGGTTATACTATGGTTATTCTATGGTTATATGGCTACTATATGGTTCTTAGGCTTAGGATCTTAGCCATGTTGGCTTCCGCTGCCGCTGTCCGGTGCCTTCATTGCGGCCAGCTCCTCCTCCGGCGCGCTCCGGCCGGAGCCCAGGGCCGCCCCCCGCAGCAGGAGCAGGGGCGAGCTCTTGGTGCTGAAGGAGACGGCGGCTTCGACCACCAACGCCACACCCTGCGGTGATGCTGGAGTGATTTTTATTGTGAAAAATGGGGGAATCTGAAGTGTATTATGAAGGTTCAAAAGAAAAAACGTGGAACTTCACGGGGATTTGAATTGGCAACATCCAACAGAAATGATTTAAACAAAATCTCTACATATCTCTACAGAATCTGATTTTATGCAACCCACATTCCCCCTGATTTTATAGAGGACATATTTAGGAGGATGGATTTGATAGGATTTACTGAATAAAAACATTCCGTCCAAATGTGTTTATACTTCGGAATTCAACATGATTCTGGCTGTCAAAATATGGAGAAATTGTCCAAAATATGGGGCACACAAATGCTATTTCAAGCAGAATCTTGGCAAGTCACAATGATTCCGAAACCCTTAAACACGCCAATTTTGTGGTTGATTTCCCCTTGTGACCAGAATCTAGGTGAATGAACTGTCCATAACCTTTGATCAGCCTTTGGCTTTGAGAGGTTGGTGATCCGGGGGCATCCGGACAATGGTCAAGGCATGGAAGGCAACTTTTACTTGTGATGGTGATCCCAAGACCTCTGAAATCCTTGTGGTTCATCATTCCTGACATTTCCTGACCAACATGCAGAAGCCCTCAAGAATGTGTTCAATGCCTTGAATCTCTTGGAACTGACTTCTCCGGATTCCAGCCATTGTTCAACTGTGCGTCTTGTGAACAGACAATCTCCACCTGGTCGCATCGAAAAAATTGTACCTCGAAAGGTAAATTGGCTTTGTCATAGGGTGATTACAAATTAATTAAATTTATTTAATACTAATAATTTAATATATAATTTATACCCCAAACTCCAATGGTTCCCGAGGAAAATCGCCAGAGACCTCTGGACATTTTGATCCAGGCCTGCGAAAAGCCGCCCAGCAGTAGACGCTTTGGGTCCTCGCCTCGAGAAACCCACGATGCGCTGACAGCTGGAGAACTGCTAGCGTGAAACAACCCAGTTCAGGTTGGAAGTGCATTTGTGGTGCTATGTGGTGCCCCAGTTCGTTGGCTAAGTTGGTTTAGTTCCGTCATGTTTCACGAGAATGTGTGAATGTGTGTGTATATATTATATAATCATGTATATATATATATATACATACCACTGGTGCTTGATCGTAGTGCAACTCCACGTCTACAAAAAAAATGTTGTCTTCGGCTTTTTAAATGGTCCATTAGTCGGTATTCAGCTGTACCGTTTGGTGGCACTCGTAGTTTGACCGGCTGGCTGGAGAGCAAATCATCTTAAGGACCACTCAGGTTCGATTCATTTGGATTTCTTTGAACATATGATACCCTCAATTTCTGAATTGTTATGATTAGTTCCATGAACATTTCAATTTGTTATATGTGCATATTCCATGCTATCCCATCGCCATTTCATCGGGTTCAACGTCAGATGTCGACAGCTCACCTGGTAGTCTGGCAATTTCTTCCTCCATCAACTGCTGAATCCGTTCAATTTGGTCCGTCAGCTCCTGGGGGTCCTGTGCAACATCGGGGACATCGTTTTGGGGTCAGTGCATGCAAAACCATATCATATAATATGTACCAAAGCGGAACACTGAACATGAAATCTGATATGTATATATATATATAATATATTTATATATAAACATATAAACATATATGTATATAACATTATAACACCATATCAATGAAATGTCAGACACAGAACCTCAGAATGACATTAGGTGCAAAAGTATCCCACCTTCCCTTATCATGTCAACTTAATCATTCAACCATGGAACTTTGGACACATCATGAATGACATCGGTTGCCACACAATTTGGAACCCCACAAATCTGCTTATTTTCATTATTGTTGTATTACATGTAGTTATTACACATTGTTACCATTGTGGCTGGTCCAAGGTCAAATTGATGTCAAGTTCAAAAAAGTTGGGTTTTTGCCAGAGGTCCTTTGCACTGTCTCCATCCTCTGCATACTCAAACCACGAATTCATTTCGCCTCTCCACGAGTGGTGCGCCTCTCTCCGTAAGGGTGCGCACGGCACCACAAATCGGATCTCGTTGCGAAAGGGGACCTTCAAGCGATGGAGGATGGGAGTCCAATCATCTGGACCTCCACTGCAGGAGTGGAGCAGAATCCTTGGCGTTGCTCTTGTGGCCATGCGTGAAAGATGATGAAACATGAGAATTTACCCATGAAACATGAGGGATTTGAATTATCTTTAGCCAGCGAATCATGGGTTTGGGTGTGTGAAAATGGACTATACCCTGACATTGCCATCATAAACCAAGGAAATTTGGGGTACGCCATTCACTATCCCAAGACAAACCCTAATGTGTAAAAACATGGTCAACAATGGGAACATGTTTTTGTGCATCATTGACTTCATTATTTCCGTAAAATTGGGCGAAGGAATGTGTTCTGAAGGCAACTGTGGGTAGAAAAATCGGCTGAAGATCGACGCAGGTGGCAAAACTACATAAATATGTTGACAATACTCGAAGCTCTCATTTTACGGCAAGTGTGGCGCCTATGGTTTGCCCGGGACTGGAAATGGTTTTGATGATCACATTGATGATGATGATGATGATGATGATGCTGGTGGTGGTGGTGGTGGCGGTGGTGGTGGTGGTGGTGATTGTGATGATGATGGTGATGATGATGGTGATTATTGTGATGATGATGATGGTAATAATGATGATAATGATAATAATGATGAACATAAGGATGATAGTAATGATGATGATGATTGTGGTATGCTTAGAATTGTTCCACGAGGTTGGAAATTATATCGTATATCTTATGTAAACCCTAATTGAAACCCCAACACAATTTCATCTCTTTTGTTTGAACTCTGAACAAAATCAATGGTTTTCGCGCTATTCTGTTGGTGGGCAAACCGCTGTATACAGATTTCCTCATCATTTCTGGACTGGAGTCTCTCGAGATCAATTCCGTTGGGATCAGGAGTCAGTGAAGAGTTTTGTGAGCTTACAATTCTTCAACATTTTTCAACCATGCAAAGTAGTTGATAGTTGATGTTGATAGTTGATAGATGATAGATGATGTTGATAGTTGATAGTTGATGATGTTGATGTCAACTTTGGGCATTTTGGGGAAGTCACAAGCTCCAAATATTCACCAGCATGAAAAACCGTTCTGATTGGGATAGCATTTCCAGCCGGTTTACAGCATAGCCGCATAACAAACGCCAAAAACATGCCGAACAGTTGGGAACCTGGAAATTATGGAGAAAACATCATCGAGCAACCATGCTGATTTGTTTTGAGTCAATATTTTTCATTATGTGTTTGGTTTTAAAAAAACACATGTTCTATCGGAGATTCTATCGTGCATGTTCTGCTGGAGGTACCTGCTTAGGTTTGGCCCCCCGATGACAGCTGGGGGTATTCCCATTCTCTGTGATGCCTAGATATCACTATCATAGCTGAAACATATCTCATATTTACCCAAGTGACTTCTGGGTAAAATATTCCAAACAAGCTATATATACATATGTATATATATATATATCTATATTTACATATATATATATATA